GGATACTCATTCAATGGGAAGTAGACTGAGATCAGTCACTAGACATTAAGACTACATCAAAGACTGCAGGCTACTTTTGGAAGAAGCTTTTATGGAAGAGATATTCTGAAAAAACATCTTCCGAAAGAGAAGACAAGACTATGAAGCACTTTAAAGACTAACAAGATGGTTTATTAGGTGATGAGCTTTCGTGGGCCAGACCCACTTCCTCAGATCAAGTTGTGAAAGAAAATTGGCATGACCATATATACCAAAGGGATACAATAAAAAAAAGTGAACACATAAAAAGAACAAATCAAATTTCAGAACAGAGGGGGGATGAGGGGCGGAGGTTAATGTCTGTGAGCTAATGATATTGGAGGTGATAACTGGAGAAACTATCTTTGTAATGGGTAAGATAATTAGCATCTTTGTTGAGGCCCACTTGTAAAGTGTCAAATTTAAGCATGAATGACAGTTCAGAGGTTTCTCTTTAAAGTCTTGTGTTAAAATGTCTTAGAAGCAGGATGCAGGTGGTCAAGTTGTTGAGACAATGTCCTTTCTGGTTGAAATGGCGAGAAACTTTTTTCATTGTGAAACTGTGATATCTGTTTTGTGTGCATTGATTCTTTGGCAAAGTATCGGAGACGTTTGTCCAATGTACATAGCAGACGGACACTGTCAGCACATGATGGCATAAATTATATTTCTGGATGAGCAGGAATATGTGTTCTTGATCTTATAACTGAATTGGTTAGGTCCAATAATGGTGTCAGCAGAGTAAGAAGGGAGGAGAAGGGGCGGGCACCTCCCAAGGCACTCCTTCTCTCATTCTCTGTTTTGTGTGTTTGTTTCCTTCTGCAGGTGGTGAGGGCCATCAACTCCATCCTGCTGTACAGGGTCATCCGCCTGGGAGATTTGGACCCAACTGTCACAGGATTTGCCATTCTGGGGTTCCCCAACTGTGGTGGAGCCATAGGTGGGACCCACATCCTGACCCATGCACCTGAACATCAAGCGGCCCAGTACATCAACCACAAGGGCTACTTCTCAGTGGTGCTGCAGACCCTCGTTGACCACCATGGACAGTTTACAGACATTTTTATCGGGTAATCGGGCAGAGAATACGATTCCCGCATCTTCCATAATTCCAGATTCTATGGCAAGCTGGAAGTGGGCACGTTATTCCCCTGCCGTGACTCTGCAGTTGGGGATGTGCAGATGTCACTGTGCATTGTGAGGGACATGGCCTACCTCCGATGCCGTGGGTGATGAAACCCTATACCGGTCATCTGGACCCCAGCAGGGACCAGTTTAACTCCCACCTCAGCCAAGCGAGGATGCAGGTGGATTGCACCTTCAGCTGCCTCAAGGCATGGTTCAGGTGCCTCCTGACCTGCCTCAACATGGGGGAGCACAACATCCCCAAGGTCATCTCAGCATGTTGTGTCCTCCACAACACTGTGGAGAGGAAGGGGGAGGCATTCCTCCCAGGATGGGGGAGCAGAGTCCGGCTGCGAGCTACCTTTTGAGCAGCTCCGGTCAGCTGCCATCTGCCAGGCCCATCAGGCCAGGGTGCACGTCAGGGAGGCCCTGAGGGAGAGGTTCTCTCAAGGACCCCAGTAACTGTTTCAGGGCCTCTCCAATAGGGGCCTCTGGCTTGCTCCAATATCCTTTTCCCACCACAACCCCTCCCCTCTGCCTCTTCCCTGACCTCAGAATAAAGATACCTGTTTGGATTTGAACAGAATGAACTTTCTGTTTGTCTTTCATTAAAAAAGCTGGGGAGGGGCAGGAGGGCTCATAACCTGGAGGGGGGCTCAGGGCTGGGAGTGGCGTGGCGGACAACTGGATGTCCCACTTCAGGTACACGGACCTCGTCCAATTTAGGTAGGTGGGCAGGAAGGGGGGGGTCAGGGATGGCAGGGGGACAGGGAGAGAGGGCATGGGCATTGCTTGGGGAGGGAGCAGAGACATTGCTTGGGGGGCAGAGAGGGGAAATGGGCATATCAGGTTGGGCAGGGGGGTTGCAGGTAAGAGCAGCAACAGCAGCCGGGTGTGCCATCATTTCCCACATGATGGCATACATGTTATTACCCTGCCGCACGAGCTGGCCCCGCCTGCAGGTTCACCTCTCTGTGACCTCCCTGACTTTCTGTGCCACGGTTGCTGCATGTGGCACAGGATGCTCACATGCTGCCTAATCAGCTCCCCCTGGACCATGGAGCACTTTCGGGTTCCCCGGGTCTGACGGCTGGCTCTAGTGGCATGGCTTGCTCACCCCCTCAGTACCGGCTGGAGAGAATGAAAAGGGGGAGAGGCGGTCAGTCATCCATGCACTCCCTGTCCCTGAGGCCATGCCCTCCTCGTTGAGCAGCAACCAACAGTCCTCGGGCCAGAGGACGGTGGGTGTCCCGGGAGCAAGGCCATGTGCGGCCCGCACAGCAGGCCTTGCCTCACAGGGACCCCGAGGTGCCCAGGGAACCATGCTGGCTGCTGTCCCCCACTCATGGGCATGCAAGCGAAATAAGTGTCCAGCCACAGTGGGATCCCATGGGCAGCAGAATAGCCAGGAGCAGCCTGGATTCCCTGGGGCCCGCACACACACCTATACCTAGCAGCTCTGTCTGCGGGAGCGGATATGCCTCGCACATGCAGGCATGCCCATGTGCTGTGTGTGGCACTCTTTGGTGTGCCTGGGATTGTCCCTGCGCCCTTGTGGCTAGCCTGCTTCTAGCCATGGCAGATGCTGGGAGGGTGTTCTTCCCCCCTCCCGGGCCAGACATGTGTGTGGCCTCTCCCAAGCCTGGGTGCAAGAGCCTACATGGGCTCAGGGGCTGCCTGCTTAGTCAGTGTGGTGCACAATAAATGCTGCACGTGGTTCCATATGCATGGACTGCAGCACAATGTCCAGCCCGAACGACACTCACACCCTTCCCCCTCTGAGCCCGCCTTCTCCGCCCTGTGCGTGTGACGAACTGAAGAGCACTCCCCTGAAGAACCCTCCCCAGCATCAGATGATGCCTGGGACACATCCTGGCTCACAGCAACCGGCTCCAGGGACAGCATCACTGTGGCCATGTTGTCCTCCTCCTTGACCTCCAGCTAGGTGACCACAGGCATCTCCAGCCCAGAGTCTACCACAAGAGGTGGAGAAATGGCTTCCTCACGCCCCAGGATCTGGTGGAGTTCCTGGTAATAGGGGCAGGTGTGGGGTCCTGCCCTGGAGCGTGAACTGCACTCTCTGGTCCTCACATATACCTGGCGGAGCTCCTTCACTTTACTCTGGATCTGTTCTAAGATCCGGGTAGGTGTCCCCACTCCACCAGGGACTTTGCCATCCGGCCATAAATCTCTGCATTGTAACCTCTAGAGCAGAGATCCCGTAGCATCTCCTCCTCGCCCCACAGTTCGAGGAGGGACATGATCTCTGCTCCAGACCACGAGGGTGCCTGCTGCTTGGTAACCCTCGGTGGATTCTGGGAGCCCTGGTGCTGCTCCCTGTGAGGGCCAGAAGAGTCTCAGAGGCTTGTGGCTATGCCACATGTGAGCAGGTCTATGGCACGGAGAGCCATATCATCAGGATGCTGCTCCAGAGCCGGCTTCCTGCCTGCCACAAGCCTTGTCCAGGGTGCCTGCAGCTTTAAGAGGGGCCAGGAGACAGGAATTATAGAGTTATGATTACTTTGGACGGAATAGCCACTAGGGCACCTGTGTTATTTCCTAGAGGCCTCCTCTTTTGAAAGAGAACCCTCTTCCCCATGCACACATGCTTTTTTCCAAAAGAGCTCTTTCAGAAAAGGCATTCTTCCTCATAAAGAGAGGTTTACCACTGTTGGAAAAACCCCTCTGATCTTTTGATTTTTTTTTTCGAAAGAATGTGATTTCAGTGTGGACATAGCTGAAGTTTTTCATAAAAACGGCCGTTGTTCCGAAAAAACTGCAGTGTAGACATACCCTAGGTTTCAGTTAGCTCTCCCAAGTTTTTGTGTGCAACCCAGCATGCAACTTGCTGTGTCAAGGCAGTTATCTCTGAGTTCCAACTGGACAATTGGCTGACTCATAAGGGAACAAGTATGGGGCATTACTTTGAATACAATTCAGAGTGTGGTTCTGAAAAGTAATTCTCAATATCTCAGGGACATAGAATTATAAACAGACATCTCAAAACTATGCCAGCATGAGTTTGTGATTACATCTCAACCACAGAGCCCCCCTGGGATGTGCAGAAAGCTCACCTGATACCAGTTCAATAGCTAACCAATGTCACTTTTAAGAAAATAAACCTACATTTCCCAGTATTAAAACATATTTTTAAAGTGACTGGTATTTATGTTCTTTGAAGTCAGGCTGTCTAGCTTTGACACGGCTTTGATGACTCCACAGGCAATGCACTAGAAACCATTTAGAGATCAGAAGGTATAAAGATTGACAGCTTCCCCCAACTCTTCCTCAACTGAGTTGAAAAGTCAACCAGTCCTTCATACAGTTTGCAATTACCTGATTTTCAAATGTATATTTTACAGACTACTTTGAAAATATCAAAATATTTGCATTAGATTCCACACACATGGGTCAGTCTTCTTTCAGAGTATGTTTAAAAGTATTTTTCATCTTTAATAATCTATGGGTGATTGAAAATAAGATTTGTATTCGGAAAAGTCTAATTTACAATAATTATCATTAGCACAAGAGTACATCTTTTGATCAATGTTATACATATTACTAGGGATGAAAGCTCACTTAGACACTAATATTTCCAGCTAGTCTTCCAGAAGTACTAAAAATAATCTGATTCAGTTACCAGATGGCTTTGGAAATGATAATGACAATAGTTCTTTAGTTTGAATCTGCTCCATGCCCACTTAGACATTTAATTAATAGGATGCATTGTATGACCGTTTTCACATTTGAGGAAAAATAAAGCAGAATTCAATAAAAACAGCAAATGCCTGACTTTGCAAATAGAAATAGAAATATTTTGAATGTCTGGCAACTTAAACAATCAAAAGGAAAGTTACCTCAATAACAGGTACATTTTCTTTAAGTTCCGTTGTATGCAATGCCAGTAAGGCAATCACTCTGGCTACTTTGGCACGTCTGTAAATTAGACATATTTGTTAGCTTCATGAAAAAAATAAAGAGTTAAAGAAGAAAAAAAGATCAAAGAAGTTTAAGATCCTATTTATTTATAACGGTACATTGTACACAGATTGCCAACTGCCTGCAGTTTTGTAGCACAATTTTATATTAGCAAAACTCTTTAAAACATCACTTTATTTCAGTAGCTCAGATGATTATGATCAGTGTTTGCTGCAAGCTGAGTGCTTGAGCAGCCACTCAGGTGAGATACAAATGCTGCCTAGCTCATTAGCAGAGCACCCCCAGGCAGTCAACTGTCAGCATGTGTTTCTACTGGTGGTGCATATTTGCACATGCCTTGGTGCACATAAGAAAATGTATTCTTCACATGGATAGAAAAAAAAATAGAGGGAACATTGATTATGAATCGATCATGAATTATGAATGAACTGTGCAAAATGTCTTCATCCTTTCCTTTGTATGTTAGTAAATGTTAAATCTAAATTATTCATTAATCATACTCACTGCCATCACTCATTTAAAAATACAGAAAAACCATATCATTTATGCCAAATATAGAAAAACCATGATAAGGCATTTTAAACCTTTGACTCTACTTTTCAAAATGTATTCCTCTGCTAGAAATATAGCGTATGGAAGAAAATTAACTTTAGATGATTTTTTTGTTGTTGCTTATTTTTAAAATAAAAAAGTTTTAACCCTATTAATTAAATTAAGCTTTCTATAAAATAACCAGCAGAGGGCATTATTCTATTGTAATAACGACAGAATTGCTTCAAAAAAGTCTGTCATTTACGGAGACTGTATTTAGTTTTGTTAAGGAAATTTTCTATATACTACAAACGACATAGAATTTTTAGATGGAATTTCAGATCCTTTATTTATTTCTACTCGGTTTGCATATTATTGTCGTGAGACTTATTAAGGAACATTAAATTTAATTTCAACAGTGCATCCAATTCGTAAATGAAATTAGGAAAGATGTTTAATTATTCTTCCTGCGTCTAAATAGTATGAATTATATCTAATAAAGCAACTCTTAGAAAACATTAATATATTTTTTATTTTAAAAATGAATTACATGCAAGTTATAGTTAGCTAAAATGTAATGCATGTTATTAAATTTGACATATTGAAGAAATTCAACTCACTACACATTCCATTATATTATCTAATGTCTTTGGTCATTCCTCTTGAAAGATAAACCATAGCATAACCGACTGGGCATAAACTAATGCTTAAAGTGTGCCCTGTAAAATATTCAGCAACAAAAGCTTTTGAACTAATTCATTTTCAATAGGTTGTTTGTTACTTACATATCCCAATTCGGCGCTGACCGCAACTGTTGTATTAACAATGGGAACTAGAAGAAAGAGGAGACAAATACATATTTTTATATCTCACCAATTCTCTATTTATGTATGAAAAAAATAATCTTATGAAAATACATATTTCAGTTTTTAAATGTCTATTTTATACTCCGACTACAAAGGACTTCAGATGCTTGTTCAAAACCCATTAATTCAAAAGATGTACTGACAAGCTAGGAAAAAAAATTCAAATTTTGTGTTTCTGTCATTTATTAAAGAAAAAAAAAAGACATATTTTGAAGCTTTTTTTTAAAAAACAAACAAACAAACAAAGAATTTACCAGATAAAAATAAATGTATAATAGAAAAACTGTGACCTGCCAACACACACAAAGGTAAACAGACTAGTGATAAAAATTTAAAATGGCTATTCATCTGAACTAAACACACCAACCAACCTGCCTACAAATTCTCTGTTACTCTGCAATACAATTGTTTTGGCTAATATGAAATCTAGTATCAAATGAGGATTCAATAGACCATCTGGCAGGACTGTTTCCCTCACAGAGACTCTATGATCTAAAAGGTCTCTATTTCCAACTATTATAATCTTATTTTGTCTAATGCATATGTGAGGAAAACTAAAGAAAATATAAACTGAAGAAAAAAAGAGTCTCAATATTCAAAAACTGCAAAACTTACTTTTAGATAGGCCGTTTGTTATACTGTTATAATTCTGAGAGTGTGTAGAACACTTCCATAGTTAAACTACAAATGGAAGCATAAGTTTTTGCTATTACTTACATACACAAGACTGAAAATTCATTAATCCACCACTCAGAAACCACATACCATCGGTTACCTTAAAGTTATTTGTGTTTTAGAAAACATTTTTATCATCTATAAAGGTATGGTCAAGGAGGAATGTGCAACAATTTCATATGCACATGTTTTTCCAAAAGCAATTTTCTGCATTAATGCTGTTATAAGTAATAATTTGTACATCAGAGGATTGTAGGATGCAATTAATACTAGAAACACTTAAATTAATTTAATGAACTTCTGTTAATTATAAGAAAGTTTCATTTAGACTCTAGAAGACTGACAATACCTTATATCTTTCCAAGAAACTCATCTCCACATTTCATTGCTTTGTTCTTAATTGGCTGTACTATATTAGGGTAAGCAACTACTCAAGTTGTCAAGTACTCTATCAGCCTCTGTATCAGAGGCAGCAAGAGGGGGTGGAAAGCAAGAGCCAGTGCTATGGGGAATCAGCTTAAAAGCCAGTTCCTCCCAGCTCTGTCTCCACAGTGCATCGGGGGGGTGGGGGAGTAAGGGAGGCAGAGCTGCACTGTTCCTAGAGCTGGCATGAGCCAGGACTACACAGTCTCGGCTCGCACCAGCTACAGAAGCTACCCCCACTATGGCTCTGCAGAGTCTCCCCTTATTGATTAATCATGTAGTCAATACAAATTGTATCGGCCACATGATTAGCCAATTACCCGCTCCTTAATACCCTTATATTGTATGTGTCTTTCTTAAAATAGAAGTAAAGGATACCGCTGCTAAAGCCTTTTCCTGCAATGTCTGGTATGCATACCATGTTGACGCTCTGGGAACTTTACTACTTACCAGCTGTGAGCTGATTAACCTGGTTGCTACTTCCTTGTGGCCAGCCACAGTGCACAGATAGCACAGCAAATTCAATTTAGCTCGTGTTGCCCCTGTGTTCTTCTCAACAGAGTCAATCAATGAGCACACTTGTTGCAAAAAGTCATTCCAGTCAATATCTTTCAGAGATGATAGTTTCTCAGCTGTATACAAAAAATGTAAGCAGCTCTTAAAAGATGACAATTCATAATCTTTCATTTTACTTTTTTATACTAAAATATAGTTATGTTAACTTTGAAACCAAACACAACTTCAATTTTTACAGCAATAGCAAGATACAGAATGTAATTATTTTATTAGAATACAATTAAAAGAATTATAAAAAGACCAAGTGAAAAAAGGGGGTACAATACATTCCAACAGATAGCAGTAAGTATACAAAACTATTTTCAAAGAGCAAAATCCACTAGGTTCTTATTCACAGTTTTGATCTGGCCCTTGCTTAGGTAAACCCACACTGTGTTCCCATGGATTAAAGCAAGTGATATTGTCCTCATTCATTTTTAATCAGATGTCAATCAAAGGGAGTTCTTCAGAGAAAAGATTAATAAAAAATGAAGCAAAAGCCTGATGCATTTGCTGACAATCAACAACTTATCAGAAAGCGTGTATGTAGGTATGCATCTGCTTAATAGGGATCCAAAATCCAATTTGATTGGTTAAGGTTTGATAAGGTTTAAAATGGGGGCAAGGACTTGGACTTGGGCCAAGACAGGAAGGAACTGCCACAGCCCAGCCCAGCCCAGCCCAAGGTGATTCCAGGTGTGTCTCAGACAGGGGCTGCTCCAGTCATCCACAGAAGTTCCTGTCTTGCGGTGGGCCTACACACCCTTCAGGCAGGGATTGCTCTAGTGACCGGAGTAGCCCATGCCTGTGAGGGGCCCAATCCCATCGCAAACAAAGGCTGCTCAATCCCATCAGGAGCAGTCCCTGCCTGCCAGGCACTCAGGCCGACCACTGACAGGGACTACTCCAGAAAAGTGGAGCAGCTCCTGTCCACGGCAGCTCTCCCCCCCCCCGGCCATCCACACACCCCGCTGGACTGGAGCAGCCCTCTGCCCACAGTAAGTGGGGAACTATTCCTGTCCATAAAAATCCACCTAAATTTGGCCAAACTACAAAAATTTTAAAAAAATGCTCACATGCTCAGTAGAGACTCCTTCAATTTTAGCAACTAAAAATCTCCAAAGATTCCAACCCCAGTGAGCATGCTCTATCCTCAGTTTCTATTGCTCACCAGAATGCACATTCATTATCCTTGAAAACCAACTGAATATTTGCCAATCCAATGCTACACGGATGAAGTTGGACATTCCCTGTAACTGATACTCTGGGGTAGGGTGGGGACAAGCATGGAGTGTCTCTCTCCTATCCTCTTAGTGAACACTTCTGCTGGTATCTTGGCAGCATGGAGGAGGAAAAACTGTCTAATCTGAGTAAGGACAAGAGCTACACTAAAGATGGGGGAAGGATAGAGTGAGACAAGTCTAATAATACTAGAACTGGAGGGTGTGGAGAGAAACCGTTACTGGCAGCTGCAGGGGAATAGGCTGGGACTAATTCATCGAAGAATCAGCCTGAGACAAGGGAATAGGGAGGAGTGAAGCCTCATGTCAGTTGAACAAGGAGACTGATGTGAGCAGGATTTCATGCACTCCAGCTGTCTTCTGGAAAATGTTGGAACTTTGATCAGTACAATTGAACTAGGGATGTAAGTGACTAGTCGACTATCCGATAAGCAAAAACAAGAGGCAGCTAGTGGGAGGGGGAGTAGGAGCCGGTGCTGGGAGGGAGCCAGCTGAAAAGCCAGTTCCCCCTGCCCCCAGCACCATTTCTGGGGGAGCAGCAGGGGGAAGGAGGTAGTGGGGACCAAGCACGATCAGGGAATCAGCCTATTCCTGGCTCTCGCCCCGTCCCAGACGCTGCACCTCTGCTTTTTAAGGTATATAAATTTAAAAAGCAGAGGTGCAGCATCTGGGACTGTGCGTGAGCCGGGAATCAGATAATTCAAAAAGTAAAAGCACAGTGGGGGGGGGGGCCCCAGCGCAAGATGGGAATCAGTTATTCCACCTCACACCAAGTCTCCTCTGCTGTGCTTCAGTCTTTTAAATGTATTAAGAGCCTGCCGGCTCTTAATACATTTAAAAGGCAGAGCTGCAGCGGGGTCGGCTCCTGCTCCGCTGCTGCTCCCCCACTTATCAACTAAGCAACTAGTCGATGGAAAAATCCATTGACTAGTCGATTAGTTGATTAAACTAAATTCAACATCCCTAAATTGAACACACTGACTCCCAAACTCTGATAAAGTGCAGCCAAGATTTTCAAAAGGACATGCTTCAAGGTCTTTATGGAGCCCCTGATTTAATCTAAGCAGCTCCAAATACAGAAAGTTATTCTACTGATGAAAAGCATATTGTATTCTTTTATTCCTAAAGATTATAAACAAACAAACATTTCAGAAGCAACTGAAGTTTGCATACTTTAGTGTAATAATTGGATCTGTATGGGGAGCTTTTGGGGGCGAAGAATTGCTATTTTCTAAATGGGGCCTAAAATCTCTTCATTGCAGGCTGTGCTTTGCAATTTATGAATAATACATTTTTACTGAAATCAGCATAAATATAATAGAAAGCTATTTCACAATTTATTTAAAAAATTAGCATTGTATAAAACAATTACAAAATAAAACAATTAACAATTCTTCCTTACATATGTATATGATATTCATTATCGTCTAGGAGACATATGAATTTGAATCAACAGGAAACTATGACTTTTCAGATGAAAATTTATGGCGAAAATGAAAACATTCTATAAAACTTATGTGCTATCATGGAGAGCACTTAAACATTTTACCAACTTCAGACTGTACCTGAATGTGCTGCCATATGTAGCATTTTTAAATCAAATCTAATTGGTGCTTGTTTCATTATCTGGAAAAAAAATGAAAAAAACAGTGGTTTGACTCGACCATTTTAGATTTTTTGAAGCATTTGTGAATATCTTTTAAGTAAATAAATGTATATATAGACAGACAAAGGGTATGTCTACACTACAGCGTTATTTTGAAATATCTTATTTCATTTCAATTTCAAAATAACGCATATACACACAAAATGCATTTCAAAATAGCGCGTCCACACTGAGTGGATGCTGAATCGCATTTAAGGCTGGCTAGAACCGGTTATGGCAGAGCATCAGGTCCGGAGTTAGCCTCGGGCAGCAACCACACAAAGTACCTGAGGCCTGTGCTTGAAAGGACTCCACCAGACAGCCAGTTCTCAGGTTTCCCTGCTTGCTTGCCTACCTCGATGAGGGACAGCAAAGCATTTTGTCTCTGCGTGCTCTGATTGCCCTCACTCTCTGCGTGCTCTGATTGCCCTACACCATACCACTCTGCAACATGGAGCCAGAGCTGCCCCTGGACACTCTGGTGCTTCTCATGGACACATTGCTGCGAGCCTGGCTGCACTTTCTGCAGGCTGCCATCCAGGAGGTCCACTGGGGGACTGTCAGTATCCAGGAGGCCCTGCAGGAGAGCTTCCACCCTGAGGAGCACTAAAAGCCTCCCTGGTCTGCCCCAGTTGGGGCTTGTGCCTCATTCCTCCCTCACGTCCTTCCACTTACCCCTCTCTAACCCCCGTTCCAGATGTCAAATAAAATACATGTATTTTCATGAACACAAACTCTCTTTATTAACAAAACTGGGGAGGGGGGGGAATGAAACTCTGGTGAGACTGGGGAAAGGAGGCAGGAGAGGGGAAGAGAGAGGGTGGGAGAGGGGAGGGGGAAACCTGGGAGGAGGGAGCTAGAAGGGGGAAGCAAGGGGAAGAAGGGAGAGGGGAAGATCAGGGCTGGGAGGTTGCCAGAGCAACTTGATTTTCATGCAGACCTGCTCCTGGGTTAGCATGTGGCCTTTGGTGGCCAGGCTGGCAGCTATCCTGCCATAGACGGCCACATTCCTCCGTCTAGTGCGGAGATCATGGATGTTGGAGGCATCCCCCCGAAACCTGAATAAGGTCCATGATCTCCACCCTAGAGCAGGAAGACGCCCGACTTCTCCAGGCCCTGGCAGGCTGCTGGGAGCTGGCAGACTGCTCCTGGGGAGCAGTGGAGGGCTGGTTGCCAGTGGCTTGCTGGCTCATGTTTTAGGGCCTCTCCGTCAGGGGCAGTTACGGCTGGTTCTAGACTGGCTGGTTTGGAGCTGGCACAGGCACTGTGGCCAGAGTCAACCCCTTTAAGGGCTCCAGGGATGGGGGAGGGAGAGGAGTGTTCTTGGTTGAGGCTGGAGTGGCCACCAGGGTACCCTGGGAAGGCTGGAGGCCCCCTATTTCGATATAAGTGTCTACACAGCAGTTATTTCAAAATAGCTATTTTGAAATTGATGCTATTCCTCGGGAATGAGGTTTACCAAATTTGAAATAAGCCCTCCGCTATTTCGATTTAATTTCAAAATAGCAGTTTGGCTGTGTAGACGCTAGTAAAGTTATTTCAAAATAACAGCTGTTATTTCAAAATAAGTTTGCTGTGTAGAGATACCCAAAGATATATTTGACACATGCACATGATACAAGCCACTCTTATCACGATAGATGAAGTTTCAATGACCCACTGGCCTCAAACCTGGGCCCACTAGGTTCATAGGAGCATTATGCTCCACAGCCGTTATGTGAGACCCTTGTAGCCCAGGCACAATGTGAAGCACCATTTCTGAAGTCCAAGTGAGCAAGTAACTGGTCACTTGCTCTGCTTAAGTCAGCAGCAGAATCAGGAAGCTGTCCAAACAACTGAGCTCTACACCCTCTAGACTTAATGTCTTGCATTTCATGCCTCCTGCTTAGCCTCCTGGCTTTGTGAAACAGCTTAACTGCTGACATCTGACTTACAATTCCTGATCTCCAGTTCATCTCTCGGGTATCCTGACAGAGCCTGACTGTTTTCTAATTTGTGATTCTGATCTCCAGTGTCTCTCCTGTTTCTGATCTCCCAGTATCCCAACTCAACTGACTGTTGACGCCTGCCTCTGGCTTCAACAAGGTCTGGCAGCACACAACTCTGCCACAACAGCTTGTTTAGATCACTATAACCTTGTGGGACTTAGTCCAGTGCAGAGGATAAATCCAGCAGTACAAGTACAGGACCAGGAGTTTCTATGAGGGCCAAGATGCTAAACCAATGACACTTACAAAAAGTGCAGCAGGACTAAGAACATAAGAATGGCCGTACTGGGTCAGAACAAAGGTCCTTCTAGCCCAGTAGCCTGTCTGCCAACAGTGGCCAGCACCAGGTGCCCTGGAGAGGGTGGACCGAAGACAATGATCAAGCGATTTGTCTCCTGCCATCCTTCTCCAGCCTCTGACAAACAGGGGCCAAGGACACCATTTCTATTCCCTGGCTAATAGCCTTTTATGGTCCTTACCTCCATGAAATTATCTAGCTCCTCTTTAAACTGTTGCAGTTCAAGCCTTCACAGCCTCCTCTGGCAAGGAGTTCCACAGGTTAACTACGCGCTGAATGAAGAAGAACTTTCACTTATTAGTTTTAAACCTGCTACCCATTAACTTCCTTTGGTGTCCTCTAGTTCTTCGATTATGGGAACTAATGAATACCTTCTCTTTATTCACCTTCTCCACACCACTCATGATTTTATAGACCTCTTATATCCCCCCTCAGTCTCCTCTTTTCTAAACTGAAAAGTCCCAGTCTCTTTAACCTCTCCTCATATGGGACCCGTTCCAAACCCCTAATCATTTTAGTTGCCCTTTTCTGAACCCTTTCCAAGGCCAAAATATCTTTTTTGAGGTGAGGAGACCACATCTGTACACAGTATTCAAGATGTGGGCGTACCATAGTTTTATACAGGGGCAGTAAGATATTCTGGGTCTTATTTTCTATCCCTTTCCTAATAATTCCTAACATCCTATTTGCCTTTTTGACCTAGTTGGGGTTATTTTTCCCGATGTGCATTACTTTACACTTATCCACATTAAATTTCATTTGCCATTTTGTTGCCCAATCACTCAGTTTGATGAGATCTTTTTCCTGGTTTGTCGTAGCCAAATTAGCCCCCATCATACTGTACGTATAGTTGGGGTTATTTTTCCTGATGTGCATTACTTTACACTTATCCACATTAAATTTCATTTGCCATTTTGTTGCCCAATCACTCAGTTTGGTGAGATCTTCTTGGAGTCCCTCACAGTCTGCTTCTGTCTTGACTACCTTAAACAGTTTAGTATCATCCGCAAACTTTACTACCTTGCTGCTTACCCCTTTCTCCAGATCAGTTATGAGTAAGTTGAAAAGGATTGATCCCAGGACTGACCCTTGAGGGACACCACTAGTTACCCCTCTCCATTATGAAACTTTACCATTTATCCCTACCCTTTGTTTCCAGTCTTTTAACCGGTTCTCAATCCATGAAAGGACCTTCCCTCTTATCCCATGATAACAGTTTAAGTGACAACTGCCTCAAGTACAAAATATTTCTGTCCAACCACCTGCAATTTATTTACAGGTTGAACCTCCTAAATCTGGGACACTCTGGTCCAGCAACATCCGCGTTCCCAGTGCCCAGGAGCGTGAGCCAGTTGAGAGTCCAGCGGCAGGGAGCCCCACCATTGGGACCAGTGAGCCCTGTCCCAAGTAAGCTCCAGTCAGGTGGGGCAGCAGCATCCCCGAGGAGCCCCAGCAAGGCATGGCAGCAGCAGAACAGGGGTGCAGAGACCTATCCTGGGGTGGCTGGAGTGAGGCAGCCACGGAGCCCCATCCTTGGGACTCCCTGGTGGGGCATAGCCACAGCAGGGCTGTGGCAGGTGGGCAGGAGCTAAGCTCAAGCTCTGTAGCAGTGGGGCTGGAGTGGAGCCAGCCAGAGGGAGGGGCAGTGTCCTGGTAGGATGGGTGGCAGGGGATTGTCCCTGAGCCAGCAAATTCATTTAGGACGGACCAGGTCCTGAGAGTGCCGGACCAAGGAAGTCCAATCTGTATTAAAGTTTTTAAAATACTTTAATTTTTGCGCATGGAACCCCATCCCACCATTCAACACAAGAGGCAGTCTCTACTCAAGACTTTCCATATTAGGAGTTTCCAGATCAGGATTAAGGTGGCATAGCAGGGAATTGTGACAACATTTGTCCTATGTTGCCTGTAATTTTAAATCATGTCTACACTCTACCAGTTCTTCTGCACCATGAAAACATCCTGCAGCAGAAGTCTGTGTGAAAGTCTAAATCTTAGTGTAAATGCATTAGTATCTGGAGAGAAGGCAGCTAAATCTTCCAACTTTCATTTAGAAGCATATGTAAAATACCTATCAAGACTGTGTGTTACAGGAGTTTAGTAGGTGAATGTGAGATATGAAAAGGTAGATCTCCAAGGGCACTGAATGCAACATTTAGTACCCTACACTAGTGCCAGAAACTCTTTCAAATTAATAGTTAATCCCAGAATAAATCAATTCTCCATACTGACAGTATAATAGGGGACATATACACAACCGCAGAAAGCTTGTCAGGGGGGTTAGCAAACGACTGGGAGGAGCTGCTTACAACGAAACAATGAAGGAAAGGAGAAGAGGGGTCACCCTCTTTAAAGATATATCTGTGCATTCATTAGGCGATCACAGCACATTTTTAATACATTATTTAGTATTTTACTTTGCTGTACCTTTGGATTGTCAATAATAGGGGTTACAAAGAGATCAGACTCTGTGTAGATGAGCTCTTTCATCTTGGATTCCATGTCTTGCAGGCTTGAGTGTAGACTTTTGCCCTAGAGCAAAAACGGAATACGGTAGTTTGTTTAGTAATAAAGAAAATGTTTCATTCAGAAAATGTTTTTTTCTATAATATTTATTTTAACCATTACCAAACTACATTGTATAGATAGCACAAATACTCTATGTTTGTATTTACCATTATTTGCTTTATGGCACTGAAAAATTCCCTAAAATCAGGTCCAAAAGACACTATACAAATATATAGTAAGAGAAAGATGCTGATCTAATAGAAACGGACAAGCCAAGCAAAATGATGAAAAATGAAGAGAAAGTGACTTGCCCAAGTTTTAAATGACTTTCCAGAATAAGGGCCTTATATCCATTATCCTAACCCCCATTACTCAGTTACTGCTGCACATTCTATAACCATATATATTTAAAAGAAAAAATCCTACCAATCTACAGACACACTTTTCCTTCTTTTTCTTGTCTCTCACATGGAATAGAATTTTACATGCCAACTAACAAGTCTTCCCCATGCGTTAAGGATTTGGCTTATGAATATCAATATACACAACTTGAAGATGCTTTGGACAAAAATACCTCATGAACCTATCAATTTTAATGTTACTATCAGCAGCAGGAGATAAGGGGAGGAAGAAAAGAAATGCGTCAGTCTTGACCGTCATAGCCTGGGGCTGCTCCTGCCCTGGCTGCAGGCAGGTTACCTGGTTGCCTTGTAAGCAGGCTGATAAAGAAGAAGTTACTCACACTGTGAAGTAACGATTGTTCTTCGAGATGTGCCCCGTGGATGCTCCACGACCCGCCCTTCCTCCCCGCTCCGGTATTTTTCATTTTCTCGTTTCAGGGAGCGGCTGAGAGGAATTGAGCAAGCCGGACCGCTCACAACACATCAAAGGCGCGAACGCCGCCTCGGGCAGCCACGCATGCGCAGTCCGGCGGACCACGGCTCTGATAGCTCTCCGATTCGCGGCGCTGGGACGGGACCCGACACCTGGAGTGGAGCACCCACGGGGCACATCTCGAAGAACAATCGTTACTTCACAGTGTGAGTAACTTCTTCTTTATCAGCCTGCTTACAAGGCAACCAGGTAACCTGCCTGCAGCCAGGGCAGGAGCAGCCCCAGGCTATGACGGTCAAGACTGACGCATTTCTTTTCTTCCTCCCCTTATCTCCTGCTGCTGATAGTAACATTAAAATTGATAGGTTCATGAGGTATTTTTGTCCAAAGCATCTTCAAGTTGTGTATATTGATATTCATAAGCCAAATCCTTAACGCATGGGGAAGACTTGTTAGTTGGCATGTAAAATTCTATTCCATGTGAGAGACAAGAAAAAGAAGGAAAAGTGTGTCTGTAGATTGGTAGGATTTTTTCTTTTAAATATATATGGTTATAGAATGTGCAGCAGTAACTGAGTAATGGGGGTTAGGATAATGGATATAAGGCCCTTATTCTGGAAAGTCATTTAAAACTTGGGCAAGTCACTTTCTCTTCATTTTTCATCATTTTGCTTGGCTTGTCCGTTTCTATTAGATCAGCATCTTTCTCTTACTATATATTTGTATAGTGTCTTTTGGACCTGATTTTAGGGAATTTTTCAGTGCCATAAAGCAAATAATGGTAAATACAAACATAGAGTATTTGTGCTATCTATACAATGTAGTTTGGTAATGGTTAAAATAAATATTATAGAAAAAAACATTTTCTGAATGAAACATTTTCTTTATTACTAAACAAACTACCGTATTCCGTTTTTGCTCTAGGGCAAAAGTCTACACTCAAGCCTGCAAGACATGGAATCCAAGATGAAAGAGCTCATCTACACAGAGTCTGATCTCTTTGTAACCCCTATTATTGACAATCCAAAGGTACAGCAAAGTAAAATACTAAATAATGTATTAAAAATGTGCTGTGATCGCCTAATGAATGCACAGATATATCTTTAAAGAGGGTGACCCCTCTTCTCCTTTCCTTCATTGTTTCGTTGTAAGCAGCTCCTCCCAGTCGTTTGCTAACCCCCCTGACAAGCTTTCTGCGGTTGTGTATATGTCCCCTATTATACTGTCAGTATGGAGAATTGATTTATTCTGGGATTAACTATTAATTTGAAAGAGTTTCTGGCACTAGTGTAGGGTACTAAATGTTGCATTCAGTGCCCTTGGAGATCTACCTTTTCATATCTCACATTCACCTACTAAACTCCTGTAACACACAGTCTTGATAGGTATTTTACATATGCTTCTAAATGAAAGTTGGAAGATTTAGCTGCCTTCTCTCCAGATACTAATGCATTTACACTAAGATTTAGACTTTCACACAGACTTCTGCTGCAGGATGTTTTCATGGTGCAGAAGAACTGGTAGAGTGTAGACATGATTTAAAATTACAGGCAACATAGGACAAATGTTGTCACAATTCCCTGCTATGCCACCTTAATCCTGATCTGGAAACTCCTAATATGGAAAGTCTTGAGTAGAGACTGCCTCTTGTGTTGAATGGTGGGATGGGGTTCCATGCGCAAAAATTAAAGTATTTTAAAAACTTTAATACAGATTGGACTTCCTTGGTCCGGCACTCTCAGGACCTGGTCCGTCCTAAATGAATTTGCTGGCTCAGGGACAATCCCCTGCCACCCATCCTACCAGGACCCTGCCCTTGGCAGCAGTAGCGAACAGATCTATTGAGGGAAACCCCCATTGGGCGAAAATACCGTGTAGAATGTCTATGCGAAGTTCCCACTCGTGGTCATGGGGAAACAGCCTGCTGAGTGAGTCCGCAATATTATTCTGGACACCCGGCAAATAGGAGGCTGTCAGGATGGTATTGATGCGGGTACACCAGTTCCACAAGTGCATCGCTTCTATACAGAGAGATCGGGATCGAGCCCCTCCCTGTCTGTTTACATAATACATGGTGGCAATATTGTCCGTAAGGATTCTGACAGTCGTGTTCCTTATATGGGACTGAAAATGCTGACATGCATGACGTATTGCTCGTAACTCGAGAATGTTGATATGTAAGAGCATCTCCTGCGGGGACCAGCGACCTTGAACCGTCATGTCGTCCATGTGCGCTCCCCAGCCAGTAAGGGACGCATCTGTTGTTATTTGCTTCGACGGTTGTGGACGGTGAAAAGGAATGCCTGCCATAACATTGGTCGGCTTGGTCCACCACTGTAGGGATTGTTGTACATGTGATGGTATCGCCACCACCTTGTGAATGCTGTCCTTCATCGGAGTGTATGCTGTACTCAGCCAGTGTTGAAGGCAGCGAAAATGTAACCTTGCGTTTTCAACAATAGTTGTTGAGGTGAACATGTGTCCCAGTAGTTGTAACAGTACTCTGACGGGGATCGTTGGAGCATACGTCAGCGTGTGAACAAGATCTTGAATGGTGGCAAAACGTTCGGCAGGTAAATAAGCACACGCTGTTCTCGAATCGAGCCTCGCCCCTATGAAGACTAGATCTTGTGTAGGTTCTGGCGAGGATTTCTGCATGTTTATGAGTAGACCCAGAGAGTGAAAAACCTGAGAGGCTGTTGTCACCATGGCTACGTCTACACTGGCCCCTTTTCCGGAAGGGGCATGTTAATTTCATGAGTCGTAGTAGGGAAATCCGCGGGGGATTTAAATATCCCCCGCGGCATTTAAATAAAAATGTCCGCCGCTTTTTTCCGGCTTTTAGAAAAGCTTTTAGAAAAGCGGAAAAGAGCGTCTACACTGGTCCCGATCCTCCGAAAAAGGGCGCTTTTCAGTGTAGACCTAATGTATGTTGACTCCAGCTACATTAGTCACATAGCTAGAGTTCTGTACTTTAGGTCAACTTACTATGGAAGTGCAGACATAGCCACAGAGCCCTCTTTCTTGTGCCAGCCCAGACTAATTCCCATCCACCCCAAACCTCAGGCTGCAGGGAATGCCATTGCATTGTGCATAACCAGGTGCTTCCTTTTACCTTTTTAATATTAGGGACCATCAGTGTGAGCAGGTATTCTCTATATTAGAATGGATCTCTTAATTACAAATAAAGGAATATGAGTACTTTTTTTAATGAACCTGCTTTTTGATTAAAGATGCCTATTTTTCTGACTTTTTTTCAAAGAAAGCAATATAAAATATAGAAATTCACTTACTACTTGAAGCAATGCAAGATACCCAGCGCCTACATTATCAAAGTTTACTTTCACATTTTTCCATCGTGCGCTTTCATTCTTTTTTATGAGGTCCTCACACTGAGTGTAATTGTCAACATCGCTGACATCAAACATCTCACCAGTTGTAGTGTTAACACAGTGGTAGAACTTGCCAGCAAACAGATTTACTCCCATAATGCTGAAGATTAGCCAGAATATCAGACAAACCAGTAGCACATTCATGATGGATGGAATTGCTCCTATGAGGGCATTCACAACCACCTAGCATAAAGACAAAAACGCCTCAGTGCATCTTTTATAACTAAATAATCATAGAAATATAAAACTAACACTCAGGTTTTTCTGCCTATATTTTAGCAAATATTGGCTTTTACTTTATTCTGAAGCTCCCGTGGAGTTCCGGCAGATGATAACCAGGAAGACCGCCTCATTGCGACCCCCGTAGCTGTGGCCCGTGCAGCTGTGTCAGCCACATCCATGGCCATCTGCAAAGTAGTATTACAGGCTATATATCCTTCTTGGACTATGGCTTTCAGTAAGGGTTTCTTGGCATCAGGTAGATATTGTAGTAGCTCTGTAAGCTTTGAGTAGTTATCAAAATTGTGGTTAGAAAGGTGGGCTGTATAATTTGCGATTCGTAACAATAACGTAGCCGAAGAGTAAACCTTTCTTCCAAACACATCCAATTTTTTATTATCCTTGTCTTGGAATGTATTCTTATGTTGAGGAGCCTTAGCCCTCCGCTGTACCGCATCAACTACAAGAGAGTTGGGTTGAGGGTGGTTGAAAAGGAAATCCAGTCCTTTAGCAGGTACGAAATACTTTCTATCAACCCTCTTACTAGTTGGGGCAGCCGATGTAGGGGTTTGCCATATTTCGTCTGCCACTTCCATGATGGCCTCATCGATAGGGAGGGCGATTCTTGCCCGTTGTTGCTGTCGCAAATTCTTCAAGAGACGATGTTTCTTCATGGGAACGTCTGTTAACTGTATTTCCTGTGTGTTTGCAACCCTTTTGAATAGGTCCTGGAAGTGCTTCAGGTCATCCAAGGGAGAGGCATCATCTGGAATCACTGCTTCATCCGGTGACGACGAGGGACAGTCAGTTGGAGAATGTGTGGCCGAGGATCTTCTGTCTCGGACAGTTGGCCCTCTTCTGGTTCTGAGTGATCCTGATGGATGGTTAAGCTTTCTGATGGAGGTGATGAAAACGATCTTTGTGGACGCTCTGGTAAGTGCTGCACACTGGGTGATAAACGGGTACATGAAGAACCCCTATAAGATAGAGTAGCGTGACCAGGGTGGGGGCGGATCATATACAGCCCTATGGTAGCGCCCATAGTAACGGTCAGACCGTGCTGGTGAGGAGTATCTGGAGGATCCTGAACTGCGGATGTAGTAGATCCGCTGTGGCGACCGCCTAGGTGATCTATGCCTTGATGACCCCCTTGGGGAGCGAGAACGTGATGGGGGGCATCTTGTTTCTACATAGACCGTGTCCCCATAGGAAGGTCCTCTAAGCACTTGATAAGATGGAGAAAGACTATAGTCCCGGTGCCTTCGGTACCTGGGTGGAGAAGGAGACGGTCCTGAAGAGAAGGTAGGCGATGGGGAAAGCGCCCTGTAAGTTTCTTTCTCTGCGGCTTTGCAATGCAGTGAAGCCTTGTCAATTTCTCCTGCTGGTGGAGAGCTCGGTGCCGCACGCGGCTGTAATGCCTCTATCGCCACATGGGGGCAGCGTTGACCGTGCCGTCGGCATCGGACTCCAGCGCCTTGCCATAAAGAATAAGTTTGAGGCGCAAGTCTCGGTCCTTACGAGCCCTCGCCGTTAACTTGCTACAGTGAGTGCACTTCTGGGGGACATGCGTCTCACCCAGGCACCTCACACAAGAATCATGACCGTCTGATATCGGCATAGGGTCCTGACAGACGGAGCATCTTTTAAAACCAGGGGATCCCGGCATAGTGAATTAAGGAGGAGGGAGAAATTGAGTACTCTCCTCCACTTGTCCCCTCAACTGGCTGTGAGATCCAGTCCGTTTTTCTTCTTCTTCTTCCTGTTTTTTTTTTTGTTTTTTTTTTATATTTCTGTGTTGATCATATCCAGTCAAGGAAAAATAACATTAATAGTGAAGCAGTAGGACAGTTCTTTTTCTTTTCATTCTGAAAGCAGAATGCATCTACTATGGGCCCAGTTATGCTCATACTTATTACTGATGTTGAGTAGTACCAGAGTGGGGCCTAAATGAAGTTAAACCCTTCTTCCACATTGTTTGATTTGCGGCACCGGGACGGGACCCGACACCTGGAGTGGAGCACCCACGGGGCCACTCGAAGAACTGCCTGTTTACTGGATAACAGGCTAACGTCTTACATCTCTAAATGAAAGTATAATGTGCTATCTTCGAAATTTTACATATTATATAAAAAAAAACTTTAAAAAAAATAACGAATAGTCTTGCAACACCTTAGAGATTAACAAAAAATGTAGATGGTATCGTGCTTCCATAGGCAAAACCCACTTTTTCAGATGAATGGCGTATAGGGGTCCAAGTTCCAAATAAATAACAAAGGGAAGGGATGGGAAAGAGAGGAGAAAAAAAATTGGAAAAATAGTCAATTAGCGTTTCCATGCTAAATGAAATTGATAAAGAGGCTTCTAAGTACTCTTAAGTACCTGGTGTTTGGCCTTTTATGTCATTAGAATGTGGAATGTAGCAGGTAATCCAGTTAAGGTTTTTGTTTAAACCTCTATTGTAGGTATCAAACTTGTAAATGAAATTAAGCTCTGCAGCTTCCCTTTCAAGCTGGTTTTTAAAATTGGCTTGCAATAATACGGTGACTGTGAGATCCATTAATAAGTGTCTGGGCAAGTTAAAATGTTCCCCAACAGGTTTCTCTGTGTTATCTTTTTATATATCTGATTTGTGTCCATTAATCCTCTCCCGTAGAGACTGTCCAGTTTGACCAATATACATCAAGAACCAGTAATGCCCCTCTGCAAGACTATTCGGCGGGTTTTAAAGTTTTTAGTTACAGTCTAACGTGACTACCCCTCCAAAATACCAAATATATATCAATAATAGATACAGAAGTGTCATCTTTAGCCAATATCAGCAATGCATAACTAAATGAAATGTTAGTATCCTGAAACTGAAAAAGTTGTGTGCAATACTCTAAAGATAAAGTTTTATAGTCTGGTGCAACTGAACTTAGTAACCATAGTAGATACATTGGTTTTCTTTACACTGAACATGTGTATACCATCTTTCTATAACTCAGAACTGGATACATTTCATTTCTTCAGAGCTGTACCTTAGAAGTCAGATTGTTCTTGAAATATCTACTGTTAGTTTTCATACATGCAGGGGGTTTTTAGGTAATGTATCAATTCTAACAATGCCATTTGTTTATGTTACCATTTCGATATGTTGTTTCAATGTTAGAATTTTTCTTATCTTTGCACTCCTGGTAATACTGTTTGTGAAATTGCATCCCTGTATTTTGATGGAAATATGTTTTTGCATATGAACAGGCATAATTAAAAAATGCTTTATTCAAATTACAGCATGTAACCTATCATCAGAAAGCTATGTGTGTGCAGGTATCACTTATTAGAATTATGGAGTATAAACCCATTTATATATCTAGATGTGCTAGTGAAGGTCATTAGCACGATCAAGGAAATTAATGACCCAGGGTTCAAGGCAATGATCTATGAACAGTCTTTGTTTTTCTTGTATGCCTGGACTATGGTTGGTCCTACAGAGTCATGTGGCCAGTCACCTGATGCTGAAACCCATTTTGAATATGGTATTTTTCCATGGGAGCGTGAAAGGGTTGAAGCTGAACAAAGGATTCCTGCCTTGGACAAAAACTATTTATAGGCAGGAAACCAGACAATAGAGGGTTGACAGTTAGGAGACACGAAAATACCTGCTGCTTACCACCAACCTGACTGTTGGAAACATATGAAACTTAACAGAGGGAAGGATAGAGCCCACTAACCAGGCATTTGCCAATCCTGGAATATACCATCAATTTCTCAATTAACTGAGTTAGTCAACAGAACCTCAGTGTAAAATTTGATTTAAAATATTTCATTATCATGTTGCTGAAGATTATAAAAATCACATCTCTAAAAAAATCATCATTCCCCAGCCTGGGCTATCATTGGGCATAGGGGCCCAAGTTTAATAGTACTGCAGAGGGACCCATAAAGCCTAAGGACGACCCTAGAGGAAAGGAATGCTATTGGCCTTCTAACATAAGCCAGGCTGAAATCTTAACTATAGAAATACTATCATCTCATCATAATAGTCTTCTTCTCACCTTTGTCAAGCATAAAGTTCTATGCTCTGAATTCTGAGTTAAGGCAGAAGTCGCACTAGTCATTTCTACTGCAGTGCTAGTCCTCGGAGTGGGACGAGAGCTGAAAGATACACGAAAATAAAGACAGTACTGATTAGCTTTCATAGATTATAAAACATATTCTGGATTACAAAATCTGCACATCACTCCCATTTATG